AGATCCATCTGATGGTGATGTTGTCTATTCCACTTTTTTCTAGCTTACCAAGGAGTAGGTTGTGGTCTACTTTATCAAATGCCTTACTGAAATCTAAGTATACTATGTCCACAGCATTTCACTGGTCTACTAGTTTAGTCACTTTATCGAAGAATGAAATAAGATTGGTCTGGCATGATCTGTTTTTAACAAACCCATACTGGCTACTAGCTATAAATTTGTTTGCTTCTAGTTATTCGCAGATCTGGTTTTTTATTATCTTTTCTAGGATCTTCCCAGGTATTGATGTTAAACTGATTGGTTTGTAGTTTCCTGGGTCCGTTTTTCTCCCTTTCTTGAAGGTGGGAACCACATCAGCCCTTTTCCAATCCTCAGGTACTTCCCCAGTGCTCCAGGATTTACGAAAGACGTGGTGTAATGGTTCTGAGATAACATCTACCAGCTCCTTCAGAATTCTGGGATGTGATCTATTGGGTCCTGGTGATTTATACTCGTCAAGGTCAGATAGGGTTCTCTTACCATTTTCTTGCTTATTTTAATTTTTGTTTCTAGTTTGTCTTTTGCAGTGGTTATTTTTGTATGTTGGGCTATAGTTTCTTTTTGTATGAAGACTGATGCAAAGTATGAGTTAAGCAGTTCTGCTTTCTCCCTGTTGCCTGTTATTTCCTTGCCATCTTCTCTCTTTAGTGGATCTACAGTTTCCTTGACTTTTTTCTTGTTGTTAATGTGTTGGAAGAAACTTTTTTTATTATCCTTGATTTCTGTTGCAAGTCTTTGTTCGTTCTGAGCCTTTGCTTTCCTGACTTCATCTTTGCATGTTCTGGCTGTCTGCTGATAATCAGCCTTAGTTATGTGCCCCTCTTTCCATTTTTTGCATTTGTCCTTTTTGTCTTTCAGTTTGTCAGAGAGATCTTTGTGCAGCCATGCTGGTTTCTTCTTGAATTTGTTTTTCTTTTTCAGTGGTATTGTGCTGGTCTGGGTTTTTATGATCGCATTTTTCAGAGTTTTCCCCTTTAGGATTTTCATCCATGGGATCTTTCCTAGGTTCTCTCTGAGTTTGTTAAAGTCAGCTCTTTTGAAGTTTAAGACACTGGTTGGATTGTTTTCTATTGCTAGTGTTTGCATTATATTAAATTCCAGTATGACGTGGTCACTTTCCCCCAAGGTTCTGGCAACTTAAACTCCCTCTATCACTTCTTCTCTATTAGTAATGATTAAGTCCAGTATAGCTTTATGTCTAATTCCCATCTTCACATTTTGGGTGACAAAGTTGTTGGCTAGGTTGGTTAGGAATCTGTTTGATCTTCTGCTCACTGCAGTTTGTCTCCCAGTTGATATCCAGATAGTTGAAGTCTCCCATTACTACTGTGGTATGCTTCCTACATACATTTGTTAACTGGTTGGCAAAGAGTTCATCTATTTCTTCTGATTGGTTGGGTGGCCTGTAACATACACCTATGTCAATGTCAATTTTTCTCTCTTTTATATTGACCCATATACATTCTGGAGAGATTTTATCTTTGATCATGTGCATTTCTGTAGGTATGAGTGTTCTCTTACATATAATGCAACTCCCCCTCCTCTTTTTGTAGACCCTTTCTTTTGAACAATTTGTATCCATCCATCAGTCCATTCCATTCATAGGTTTCGTCCCACCAGGTTTCTGTAAAGCCTATTATGTCATACCCTCCTTCATGTATTATTGATTCTAGTTTGCCCTGTTTTTTTCCCCCAAGCTTTGAGCATTTGTATAGAGCATTTGTATATAAGCATTTAAGACTTTTATGCCTGTCCACGGGTATGTTTCCTGCATCTCCTGATTGTTGTTTGAGTTTTTTTCTCATCACTGCCTACCTCATTGTTTGATTTGTTTTCATGTGATTTGTGATTGTTTTTGGGTTCTAGAGATTCTAGAGATTGGACACCCTTCCCCGATTTTAGTTTAAAGCCCTCCTGATGAGTTGGGCCAGTCTTTTTCCAAGTACATTTTTCCCTGTTTTCATGAGGTGCGACCCATCCCTTGCCAAGAGTCCTTCACATAGGAAATGCAGTCCATGATCCAGGAAACCAAAGTTTTCTTGGTGACACCAATCCTTTAGCCAATGGTTTATTTCTAAAATTCTTTTTTCCCTCAATGGATGTTGGCCTTTCGTTGGGAGTACTGATGAGAACATTACTTGTGCTCCTAGCTTCTTAACTTTATTGCCTAGTTGTTTGTAATCTCATACTATTGTACTCAGGTTCTTTGTTGCATCGCTCGTCCCAATGTGAAGGAGGAGGGGGTAGTAATCTGTGGGCCTAATTATTTTGGTTAGGTTCTCAGCCACATCTTTGATTTTTGTTCCAGGGAGACTATATACCTCCCTGGATTGTATGTCTGGTCTGCAGATGGATGATTCTTTTCCTTTGAGGATAAAGTCTCCTATTACCAACACTCTCCTTTCTTTTTGGGAGGCTGTAGTTTGGAGTACTTTTCTGTTTATGTCAGGTGTGTTTGTTGATGTGACTTTTTTAGGGATATTTGAAGTGACTTTTTAAGGATATTTGAAGTTGTTTCTTTGCTAGGTGTCTGCATGTTTTATTTGAGGGGGAGGTTGTGGGTCTGCATGTTTCCATGTAAGGGGAAAAATTGATCGCTCAATTTTAATGGGGCTGCTTCTGGTTGGGTTGGATTGGGCAGAAGAGGTTTGTTAGTTGTATGCTGCTTCTTTCTTTGAGTATTGTGTTTGCTTCTATGTGTGACATACCTCCATTTGTCTTCCTCCAAGGGTTTATCAGTAGGGTCAAATCCACTGGGAGTTATTTGTTCATTATTTGGTTCAGTTTGGGTGGAGCTTTCTTTTGTACGTTGGGGTTTGGCTAGAGTTGCCTCTAAGTTCCTTTTTCCTGTAGTAGTTCACATAATTTATATCTAATGCACGTATAGTTTGGGTGTTCTTTGGGCATAAGCACATACATGGAACATGTATTGCGTACCACAATAGTATCAGTCACATGTTCCATGAGTTTGTTGTTTGAAAATCCCTCTTTTTGGTTGGTGGATGTGCTTTGCTGTTAGCTTTGTTTCTAGCTTCTCTGTTCTAGGTAATTATGCCTATTTTTTCTATCTTTTTTTGCCTGTTTGTGCTTGTTTTTGTGCCTTATTATTCTGGTATAGATAAAAGTATGTGGTAGTATACCCCTGGGTTTAAGAGAAAAAATTGCAGTTTGTATTGAGGTTAAACATTAATGTTAGAATAGAGCTATTTAACGAAGGGAAGGGCTGCTTTCTCCACAACAAGGGTTTTGCTTTTTGCTTTCTGCTCTCTGCCTAAAAATTCATCCTTATCTCTCCTTTTCTTAATTTGTTCCTTATTTAACTCTATCCCCTCTGCCTTGTTTTTTTGACTGCCTTTCTGTGCTCACCCGGTCTTTCTAGGTGCCCTCAGTTGCCTTTAGCCGTTGCTTCATCTTCGACGTTCAGCCAGGTTCTCTCCAGCTGCCGGTCGGGTCCTCCGCTGTTCCGCTGCCTCTGTTGTGCTGCCTCGTTGCCGCCTGCAGCCCTCCCAGTCCCTGCCGCCGCCAGCCACCTCACTAGTTTGCTGCTTCGCGCTGCCTCCAACCACCTCCTCGGCGCTGCCCCCAGCTGCCTCACTGGTCCGCTGCTTCGCGCTGCCGCCAGCTGTCTCCTCGATCCTCCTGATCCATTTACTGGTGTCAGTTTTCTTCTGCCCATAGAGTAAAGTAACTAAACATTCAAAGAAGCAAGCACTGATCATCTCCTACCAGTTATGATCATGTTCTCCCCTCCTACTACCCCAAATTTCCTCATTTAATACTCCAATACTACCTTCCACCATAAAGCAAATAGGTCCTGAAACAGATATAGAAAGGTGAAGGTTATTTCCTAACGTTTTCAGTAGAAAATCTCTGTGAAGGGAAGAAAGCCCGATAAAAGAGGAAGGATTTACATTCCCAATAGACAATTCACACAATGCATCCCATTCCCTTGTTCTGCTTTTCTACATCAAGGAAAGTATTTAGGATCTCTATGTGCATTAATGTCATGAACCAAAGCTGTAATAGAATCCGATTCATACATCACACTAAGCCATGTTATCTTTGTATTTTGTCTTAGCAGGGTATGTGAATTCAACTTTGATTTATTTAATAAAACCTGTTTAAAAACCATTGTAGCAGCTAGTTACAATTTGTCTCTAATGCGTTCTGGGCACCACATACATTTTAAACCTCAACAACTTGTCATGGACACTTCTGCAACTGACATGTGAGCTTTATCCACAATTCCATACATATATACATATGAACTTAGCAACAAAGCACCAAATTAGAAGGCCACCTATTTATCTCCCCACACACAAAAGAGATTCTCTACTATCGCTGTTTAATTCAGTTCTTTTTTTTCTAAGCAAATGTTTACAGCTGCCCATTATTTTTATTCCCAAGTAAGTGCATGAAACCTGTTTGGTTCCCACAGCATTTTTAGAAATAAAGATGATGATGGGGCAAGGTGCGTTCTGCAACATTTCAATGTCACTCTTTTTTAATTAAAAGAATTGGGGAGGGGGGTGATACAAAAGGCAGGTGAGGCTTGGCAATTAGAATTACCAGTTTTGGGCTTCAAATTCCAGATAGCCACTAGAAGGCAGCAAAGAGTTAATTTTTCTGCATCACTTTTCTGCCCTCTGCTGGTGATTTGAATTTTTGAATTTGATTTGGTGGCCCTATGTCAGGGGTAGGCAACCTCGGCTCTTTTATGACTCTTTTATGACTCATGGACTTCAATTCCCAGAATTCCTGAGTCAGCTATTCCTGAGTCAGCTATGCTATGCTGACTCAGGAATTCTGGGAGTTGAAGTCCATGAGTCATAAAAGAGCAGAGGTTGCCTACCCCTGCCCTATGTTATCTGAATAAGTGGGTAACTTGGAACTTCCACTTACAAATTCTAGGCTCAAAAATTGGTCTTTACATAGAATTTGGCCTCACTTTCTTTAGAGCTGTAACTTCATGCTCAAAGTTAACCCTGAAAAAAATAAGCAAAGTGGTGTATACGATTTTACATTTAAAAACAGACCATTTGTTGAATGTAATGATTTTATAAATGGCAATAAAAACCAATAATTCTAAAGTCTTAAAAGCAATCATTCTGACAATTATTTCAGACTTCCAGCCAGTACCCACAAATATCTGATACTATGAACAATAATTCCTCTAGCATGTGTGCTCAGATGGCAGCAAATATTTTGCTTGCCCCTTTCTTATTTATCACAGCTATTTATCACATCTTCTTCCGTGCTTCCGTAGCAACTATACACTTTGTCTTAGCTAGCAGTTCTGATGTTAGCTTCTGTTTGTTGATGCTCTGTGGAGGCTTCCTTCAGATCCTGTTGTTCGTGCATGCTTGATTTAATTGCATGGAGTGCATAGTTAATGCTAGTGTTTCCAGTCCAGCTCCAGGATCCAAAAAGAGGGTTGTATAACATGCCTTTGACCACCTTAACTGAAAAACCATCTGCAGGTAAGAAAAAGAAAGGGAACAGATTGAGGACATTTTTTTTTAAAAAAAGCTTATCATTTACACTGAATGCCTCCAAGCTCTTGCAATATAATTCTGACACAACTGTGAAATTACTGTAGGTAGTCCTCATTTACCGACTACAATTGGGGCCAGCTGCTCTGTTAAGTGAAGAGGTCACGAAGTGGGAAACTATGTGACCATGACTGTGCTTTCCTTTTCTCACTTCCTCCACCCTTTGGAAAGCTCACCTGGGCCTGCCATGATAGCCAGCTTGAAAGTGTGAAGACGAATCAGTGTTACACGTCTGGCTTTTGTCTGCTTCCAAACCCACTCCCTCTCCTTTGGAATGTTCACCCTGGCACTGGGGTAGAGGAGGGAGGGAGCAAATGTTTGCATTTATAGGCACTGGCGAAAGGGAAAGTAAACAGACAGTGGGAAAAAACACATTGAAAGCAATGTGCTGGTGCCAGGAGTCCCAAGTACACTATGCAAACAGTCCAGTGCAGTGATGGCGAACCTTTTAGAGACCGTGTCCAAACTGCAACCCAAAACCCACTTATGCATCGTCAGGTGCCAGGTGGGCGTGGCCCATTGGCTGGGCGTGGCCTATTGGCTGGGTGTGGCCCATTGGCTGGGCGTGGCTGCGGTGGTAATGGCAGACTGGGTGGGACTAAAAAGTTCAATCAATCAATTCCAACTTTGCAAGATATTTTTTTTCCCTGAGAAGTTGAAATTGACTGATTGAACCTCTTTTTTTTTTTTTTGCACAAGGCGGTGGAGGCCTAAAGCGAAAAGGTTTTATAAAACCCAGCTGAAGGCCTAGGACTGGGGTGATGGCACGCGTGCCCACAGAGAGGGCTCTGAGTGCCGCCTCTAGCACCCATGCCATAGGTTCGCCACCACTGGTCCAGTGTATTCTCCATTGTGGGGTGTTTACTCTGTTTACTTTGTTGTGTGCTGTTTGCTCTGTTTCTTCTCCAATCTCTCCACTTTGGGATTGGGGGTGCGGGAACCCAAGCAGTTTCGGAAAGCAATCTCTTGCATGCTGACTTCTTTTATTCTCCCCTCATCCCACTGGAGAATGAAGAAATTGGAGAGGAAGGGAGTATGAAAACACAAGCACGCACCCAAGGGAAATATATGCAAAAAGTAGCAGCAGTAATAGTAGTAGTAGGGGAGCTGATGTTAAAATTGCAACTATTTAATCAGAGAACGCTAACATGGAATAAAATATGCCTTAGAAAAGCAAGTTCACGCCCAAGGAGTATTTTTGTATCTCCTCCCTAAAATAATCAGATCTATATAAATATCCTATGAATCAGTAATGATAAAAGTTGCAGTTCAACTTATCTGGAAGGCACCAAATTGCTGTCACACTCTCCTTCCACTTGGAATTCTCCAGATGTGCCATGACTTGAACTCCTGAATTCTCAACCAATAGTGCCAACAATGAATTGGCTCAGCTGGAAGAGACCAGGTTGAGCAAAGATGCACTACTAGAGTCCTAACTTTTCATTTTTCAAAATCATCTGACCGAAGTGTTTTCTTTGTGCAACTTCTTTCTTACAGAGAACTCAAAGTCAACTAGTATTTAAAGGATGCTATATGATTGCTTGCCTCCTTGAGGTTTAATACTCACTTGATTCCAGAAGACGCTCTAACTCTTCAGGTGATATGAATTTGTCCCAGTCATGAGTGCCTACTGGAACAATACCCAGTAATTTCTCAGCAACAACAATGCCAAAAATATAGGAGAGCTGAGTTTTGTTCAGTGTAGTGATAAAGAGGGAACCTTCGGGCTAATATAAAACAAAGAGCAATTTGCAACTTGGTTATTTATGCAACTAACAACAAAAAATCATATAAAGAATATAATTACATTTGGTTTAAAAAGTTAAATGTAAAAAGTTTAAGTCAGTTACATCTATATATGGATAAAAGGACTCTACTGAAAAAAAAGTTATGTAGCTGATAAAAATTAATGCTCTTTGCCCAAATCCCTAGGGAAAAATTGAATAACGTACAAAATAAAATAAATGAATAAAATTCATATTTATTCACCATTTAGATTGCCTAGATCAATATTTTCGGAATGGAAAGGGAATAATATGAAGATTCTGACTGTGTTCAGTCTAGATAATCAGAATATATTATGAACAAAATTTTACCTTGGAGCAATGAG